TGTTTGAAAGGGGCTTGTTAGCACTGGGTGTTATTCTGTATGTTGGTAAATTGAACACCAATAAAAATTAATTTATTTAAAAAAAAAAGAAAGGGGCTTGTTATATGAATAACAAAAGACACCCATTTTACCTTGACTACTCTTATTATTTAGGCAAATCCAAGGGTTTGTTTGTTTTTTAAGATTTTATTTATTTATTCATGAGAGACACACAGAGCGAGACAGAGACATAGACAGAGGGAGAAGCAGGCTCCCTGTGGGGAGCCGGATGCCGGACTCAATCCCAGGACCTGAGCCAAAGGCAGACACTCAACCACTGAGCCACCCAGGCATCCCAAATCCAAGGGTTTTAAGAGCCCTGTGCCAGAAACAGGGATGAAGACCAAATATATCTTTCTTTTCTTTTTTTTTAATTTTTTAAATTTATTTATTTATGATAGTCACACAGAAAGAGAGAGAGAGGCAGAGACACAGGCAGAGGGAGAAGCAGGCTCCATGCACCGGAAGCCCGATATGGGATTCGATCCTGGGTCTCCAGGATCGCGCCCCGGGCCAAAGGCAGGCGCCAAACCGCTGCGCCACCCAGGGATCCCCAAATATATCTTTCTTAATATAAATCACAATATCATAGTAAATTTGAAGTTTTCCTAATAAAAGTTTTTTTTTAAGGAAAGTCTAAATATAAAAAACAAAACTGTAAAAAAAAAAAACCAAAACTGTGACATACTGGAAGTAAATAAAAGACAGCATTCATTTAAATCTTGGTGTTGGAAAGTCTTCTTCAGGAAGACAAAAACTCAGAAGTTTCAAAAAAAGAATTTACAGATTTAAATTTTTCATATGGCAAAAGATACAAATAAACAAATTTAAAAAAACAAGAATAACAGATTAGGAGAAAATATGTTAAACATCTACAACAGACAAAGGATTAAAAGCCTTCCTATTTTAAGAGTTCTTGAAGACTGTTAACAAAAGGGTAAGAAAAAATTGATGAGCAATATTAACTAATAATTCAGAAATAAAGATGTTTAAATGATCAATGCATCTATAAAATTGATGTAATTTGGCAGTAACCAATGAAATAAAAATTAAAAGAACAACAAGGTGTCCTGTTTTCCCCATTAAATTAATGAAAATGAAAAAGATTGGTATACAAGATTGAAGACTTTATAGAGATACATGCTCTCATACACCATTGGTAGGAGCAAATGATACAGGCTTTTTGGAGGGCAATTTGGCAGTGAAAATTAAAATATAAAGTGTACATACCATTTGCCCCAGTAATTTTACATCTAGGAATTTATCATACTGAATCATATAAATGCACAAAAATGTATATATAAGGATTTTTCATTGCACCACTGTTGGTAATAGAAAATAATTGAAAATGTCCATAGGGGAGGGAAAAATCATTTCCCTCTACCCTTCTAGGTTCTTGGCTGAGACCCCTCTATAATAAAAAGACAGCATAGCAGTAGAAAACAAATTTAATTATGTATGTACATATAGAAGCCCCATAAAGATATGAGATTCAAAGAAGTGACCATAGCAGGAAGCTTTTATACCACTTAGACAAAGAAATAATAAACTTGTGAAGAATTGATAAGACAGAGGGGGTTGGGCTAGAGGCAGTAAAATGGTGAAGGAGAGCAAGGTTTGTTTGTACAGCCTTCTTGACCTTAAATTCCCTGTCTCCGGTGATAAGGATGACTTCTGCCTTCCTGTCACAGGAAGGGTACCTTTCACATGGGAGATTTATCTCCTGCTTTCAAGGGACAAAGGAGGGTTAGAATGTTCTTGCACTGACTGTTTCTCAAGTACTTGTAATTTAGAATAACTGTAGGGGCCAAGGGCAGGCCACCCCAAAATGTACCACTTTGGCATCTTAATTATTATAAATAAAAGTTAAGAAACAACTAACGCAAAGAGAACGTTCTGTACCCTCCTTCCCCTCCCCCCAGCCCTTGTCTACAGAGAGCAAAAAATAGTTGTCCCATGTGAAAGGTGCCCTCTCTGTACCAGGAGGTAAAGAGACACTCTTATCACCAGAGAGAGGAAATTTAGAGCCCAGAAAGCTGTATAAACAACTCTTATTACTTTTTGCTAATTTACTACCAAACCCCTAATTCTGTTTAGAATTACCAATTGAGGCTCCCAAAGTTCAATTTTTTTGTCCTGTCAATTTCTCACAGATTTATTGTCTGTCTAAAAGAAATAAAAATTGCCTACCTTGGCTATTTCTTTAGGCTTGGCTTTCATAATTGGGCCTCCATGCACAGGCAAGGAAACTTTGGTTCTTTTCTCCTATTAATCTGTCTCATGTCGATTTAATTCTTAAAGCAGCTGGAAATCCTCGAAGGGTAGAAAGAAAACTTTTTCCTTCCCTGCATAACTGACATACCAAAGCAGCATAGTTGGAGTTGATGTATTCTGTACCCCTACACATCTCAAATATCAATAAAGTTGGTAATGGTCAAATAATGTATGGTACATCCATACTATGGAATACCACACAGCCTTTATTTTTTTTTATAAATTAAATTTTATTGGTGTTCAATTTACCAACATACAGAATAACACCCAGTGCTCATCCCGTCAAGTGTCCCCCTCAGTGCCCGTCACCCATTCACCCCCACCCCCCGCCCTCCTCCCCCTCCACCACCCCTAGTTCATTTCCCAGAGTTAGGAGTCTTTATGTTCTGTGTCCCTTTCTGATATTTCCCACACATTTCCTCTCCCTTCCCTTATATTCCCGTTCACTATTATTCATATTCCCCAAATGAATGAGAACATACACTGTTTGTCCTTCTCCGATTGACTTACTTCACTCAGCATAATACCCTCCAGTTCCATCCATGCTGAAGCAAATGGTGGGTATTTGTCGTTTCTAATGGCCGAGTAATATTCCATTGTATACATAAACCACATCTTCTTTATCCATTCATCTTTCGATGGACACCGAGGCTCCTTCCACAGTTTGGCTATTGTGGACATGGCTGCTAGAAACATCGGGGTGCAGGTGTCCCGGCGTTTCATTGCATCTGAATCTTTGGGGTAAATCCCTAACAGTGCAATTGCTGGGTCGTAGGGCAGGTCTATTTTTAATTCTTTGAGGAACCTCCACACAGTTTTCCAGAGTGGCTGCACCAGTTCACACTCCCACCAACAGTGTAAGAGGGTTCCCTTTTCTCCGCATCCTCTCCAACATTTGTGGTTTCCTGTCTTGTTAATTTTCCCCATTCTCACTGGTGTGAGGTGGTATCTCATTGTGGTTTGGATTTGTATTTCCCTGATGGCAAGTGATGCAGAGCATTTTCCCATGTGCTTGTTGGCCATGTCTATGTCTTCCTCTGTGAGATTTCTCTTCATGTCTTTTGCCCATTTCATGATTGGATTGTTTGTTTCATTGCTGTTGAGTTTAATAAGTTCTTTATAGATCTTGGAAACTAGCCCTTTATCTGATACGTCATTTGCAAATATCTTCTCCCATTCTGTAGGTTGTCTTTTAGTTTTGTTGACTGTATCCTTTGCTGTGCAAAAGCTTCTTATCTTGATGAAGTCCCAATAGTTCATTTTTGCTTTTGTTTCTTTTGCCTTCGTGGATGTATCTTGCAAGAAGTTGCTGTGGCCAAGTTCAAAAAGGGTGTTGCCTGTGTTCTCCTCTAGGATTTTGATGGAATCTTGTCTCACATTTAGATCTTTCATCCATTTTGAGTTTATCTTTGCCACACAGCCTTTAAAAGAGGATGAGGACATCACAAACAGCCCTCCAAGATATATTGCCGAGTGAAAAAATTGCAGGCTAATATGTAGAGTGTAATTATATAAATATGGTACTCCTTAATTTCCCCAGCATTATTCCTTTATTATCCACCTTTAAACAAATAAATCTCTGCTACTACAACTCATTCTAGAGAATCATGGAGGATGCTTGAAAACAACTCAACTTGGAGCATGCTGCGTTGAATTCCCCACAGAAGTGTCTTTCTCAGAAATCAATGTCTAAAAATTGAAGTCTACTGGAGACATTTCTGACTTGAAGCATTTTTGATTTTTCTGAACACACCATCTTAACCCATATGTCTTTCTTGCCTGGCATTCCCATAGGCCCACTGACCTACAGTTTCATCTCTTCTGGAAGATGACTGCCTTATCTTTTTGTGGTACAAGAGCAATTTTAGGTATGTCGCAAGGCTTATGTTTTACTTTAGACTATCTTAAATATTCTTTTTAACTTTGGTAAAGATGTGTGTGTCTGTGTGTATGCATGGGTGTGTGCATGCACACTTGTAAATGCCTGATAAGAAATCTGAAAGGGAACTCATCAATTTTCAGCAGTTACCTCTGAGTAAAGGAATAGGTTTGGTAGGCTACTGAAAGTGGGAATTTCACTTTTTACTCTATAAACTATATTATTAGATTTAAAATAAAATAAGCATGCCCTTGGGGTGCCTGGTGGCTCAGTCAGTTAAACATCTGGCTTCACCTCAGGTCACGATCACAGGGTCCTGGGATCGAGCCTCACGTTGGGATCCCTGCTCAGGGAGGAGTTTGTTTCTCCCTCTCCCTCTGCCCCTCCCCCCACTCATGTGTGTGCTCTCTCTCTCTCAAATAAATAAAATCTTTAAAAAAAAATAAACAGGGGCACCTGGGTGGCTCAATCTGTTGAGTGTCTGCCTTCGGCTGGGGTTGTGATCCCAGGGTCTTGGAATTGGGCTCTGCATCCAGTTCCCTGCTCAACAAGGAGTCTGCTTCTCCCTCTGCCTCTCCCTCTTCTTGTGTTTTTCTCTCTATCAAATAAACAAAATCTTTAAAAAAATAATAAAGAATAAACATGCCCTTATTTAAATGAGATATAACATATAATATTTTATACTATGTTTACAATTTCAAGACAATTTAAATCAACCAAACAACTTGTCTGAGGTTTTCAGTAGGATCTAGGCTCTGCTACTTTTCAAGTTAGGCAAGTCTTCCTTGCAAAAGCCTTTGTTCTAGCGATGGACATCTCCATAGGATTGACTATACTACTTCAGATGAATGCTGTGAGTGACAAAATTCTTACTCAAAATGCTTACACAATAAGAGAGTTTATTATCCTACATAATAAAAAGTCTAGAGGTAGGCAGGCTCTGGGGCTGGTCAATAAAGAATCCTGACAGCACCATCAAAGACCCAAGTTCTTTCCACCTCATCACTCTCCTATCTTTAGGATGTTGGCTTTGCCCTCAGATTGCAGTCCCCCTTGGCTGCAAGACGGCTGCAGAGATCTGGATATTACAGCCAGAAATGACTATTCTGAGGAAGAAAAGGGAGTTGCTAGTACCACTGTCTCTTTCTTAGGAGCCAGGAAACCTTTCCCAGAAACCCCCTGGAGACTTCCCTTGCACATCATTTGCCAGAGTTCGGTAAGTTCCCCATACCTAAACCCGTCCTGGGCAAGAGGAATGGTTTAGATTTCTCAGAATCCGTTCTCCTTGCCACTCCAGAAACTGTGAATGGCAGCATATGAAGCATATGATTTTGTGGAGAGCAGTGGGTACCTGAACATCTGGGCTTCTACTGGGGAGTAGACAGGAGGGAGTAGAGGCAGGATGGGAACCTCACACTATCTGCTACAAAGGGCTGGGGCCTCTCAAGCTCATCCAGGTCCAAACTCTACTCCTTGCTTATCTTTCAGGCAGAATCTGATCATCCTCGGGCGTTTCTTGTTTCAGGGAATGGTAGCCTTAGCTACTCAGTTGCCCAACTCGGAAAACAGCGAGTCGTCATCATGCTGCTCCTTTCCCCTTCCCTCCTAATGTGTTAGAAAATCTTGTTAATTACACCTTCTAAATCACTCTTCATTTTGTCTCTTCTTCTTTTATCCTGCAGCTGCCACTTTTTGCCCCATTCTGTCCTATCACTCACAGAAACCTTTTTACTAGTCTCTTTTTAAAACATATAGTCTTTCTAATTATAAAACTGTTACATACTTATTATATAAATTTTGGGGAAATCCGGAAAATAAAAAGCATCTGTAGTAACATTGCTCAGAGGTAATGACTGTGGATATTTTTGTGTATATCTTTCTTTGCTTTTCTCCATTCACAAATTTACCTACATATATAAATAGGTATTATTTTGTTTTCTAAATTGAGATTTGTATAGTATTTTTTATTAACAAAAGAGTATGAAATTTCTCCATATCAATAAATATTCTTCTAGGTTATCATTTTAAGAGTTGAATTATATTATACCTTATGGAGGCTTCCTAATCTAGTTAAATAAATTCTTATTGCTAGATTAGGTTTTCTCCAGTTTTGATATTGTAAGTAATTCTTCCAATGAACATATTGGTGGGTAAATCTCTGCACACATTTGTGAGGATTTCCTTAGGACAAATAAATAAATTACCAGCAGGGAAATTGCTAGTTCAAAGCACATGTGCCTTTTTCCTCCATCATTTTTATGATGAAATATTTTAGGCAATCCTAAAGTCTGCTGGATATGATGATAAATACCTAGGTACCCAGGATCCAGTTTGTCAGACTTTAACATTTTGCCGTATTTGCTTCAGATCTATTTTCTTAATGAAATAAAATATTAAAACATACTGAAATGCCTTATCTAGCCCTTCCAGATCCTATTCTTCCCCTGAAGGAATCACTACCCTCAATTTGGTATTTCTGAGTCCCATACATATTTTTCACTTTTACTATATATATATATATATATATATATATATATATATATCATAAGTGTATATATATATATGCATATGCATGTGTGTAAAGGTATGTACATGCATACATAGTACATGGTACTGTTCTGTTTTAAACTGCACATTGCACATTTCTCCTGCAACTTGCTCTTTTTGTACAGCATTATACTTTTGAGGCTTATCCAGGTTTAAACATGTAGCTCAAGTTCACTTGTTTTTTATGGCTGTTTGTATAGTGTTCATTATATGCCATGCCGTCAGATTTTCATGTCCTTGGTTCACATTATGTCTCCATTCTTTCACCATTATAAACAAATTGCAATAAATATCGTTATAAACATCTTCTGGTGTACATAAGCAAGAGTTCCTACCTGGGGTGAAATTGCTGGGGCACAGGGTATGTACATCCTTAGCTTTATGGGGTATTGCCAAATTGGTCTCTAGAGCAGTCATATCACCTTCCCTGCCACCAGCATGGTGAGAGTTTCCATTGTTCTACATTCTCACCACTGTGTGGTTTGCCCGTTGTTCTCTCTCCCATCTCCAACTCCAGAAATTTAAGAAAGTGCCCATTTCTCTGAATCTTGTCACCATGGAATACTATCAGTTTCTCATCTTTGCGAATTTTATAGGCCACAGAAAGAGGGATATGTTGATGACATTAAAATACATTTTGATTCTTTTTTTCCTCATTATAAGAAGGGCTCAGGTTATTTTAGGAAACTGAAAGAATGTAGACGAGCTAAAAAAGAAAAGGATAATCACCCCCCTCACTCAAATATAATACTAAAGAATATCTGATGTTTATTGAATTCTTACTATACACCCAGGACTGCTTTAGATACCTAATATTTCCACAAATAGAATTCATAAATGACATCTAATATATATGATAGATATACATGATAAATATACATACGTGTGTATTTCACTTTCATGAAAAAGTACCCACTTTTTTATAAATTGGATTTTTTTTTCACCTAATGAATAAGTCACAATCATTTTCTCATATTACCTGCATTCTGGACTGGAGGATGTGAAAGACTTGCATATTCATATCCATCATATCCCCTAACTCCAGAAAGTGAGGACCAGACTGAGGCCAACAGCAAGTCCTAGGGAGCTGCCTGGCTGCTGGCTGAAGATAGCAGTGCAGATGACTCAGCTGCACTAGGAAATGGAATTAACACAGAACAGCTCTGTGCTGGGGACTCAGGGAGGCCAACTCCCACCTCTGCCTTAGGGCCTGCTGCTGGGCACCCGCCCGGACTACCTGTCCATCAGACAACATAGCACGCAACTCCTTTTAGCTAACTCTCCTGTGCCCTCATCCCATGCTCCTTTAGGTTTTCTTACTACCACTGCCCTTTAGTGTAAACATATTACCTACATTCTCAGCCTCTTGTCTTCACTGTCCACCCTCAAAAACACCAGTCTCCTGATACTAATTGGGAGGAAGTTCCATATTCCGTTCTCTTCTGTGACCTGGCCCATGTGTATACTTGAGGAGATGAACTATATTTGGATTTGATCCAGTTTCCATGTCAGAAGAGAGTCGGCAATAGATGTATCATTGATCACCCACCTGCCACTTCTCCTGCCATGCTCTGTATGTTCTAGTAATTCTGAGGTGTTTCCTCTCCTCCGGACACCATTTCACACCTTTGTGCCTTTACATATACTTCTCTTTCTGTCTAGAATGTGCTCCCCTTCTTGTCTGCTAGGAAAACTCGTATTCATCCTTCAAAGTCTATTCCAAATATATTCCCACCAAACTAGCCCCCATATACGCAGGGCAAGGAAAGGCCAAAGAAAGAAGCAGATAGCTCCAGATTAGTAGGTGGCAGTTTTAATAAACAAGGAAAATTACAAAGTTTATCTAAGAGGGCTGCAAGATGAGTAGATCTCTGCACCCACCCACCAGAACCTTAAAGGTTTATATAGAGGCCTTAACTGGGTACGGCCATATATACTGTCCAGATGGTCTCAACACCACATTACTATCTCAAGCTGTGTCCTGGGGGCAGATTCTAGTGCAGGGAAGGAAGCTGAGTGCACATTCCAAGGACAGGGAAGTTGGTGAGGAGCCTCTGATTGCCCAGGTCCGGCTTGCCGGTCAACCAGTAGTTACGTCCTCTTGAAGACTTCCTCCAACACCACCCTACATATTCCTTATTAATTACAAAGACTGAAAATTACTTTGAACAATTAGAAAGCTAACTAATTTCACCTTAACCAGGTGGTCAAAATTATCATCCTCAACAGGACAAACAGATATCCGATGCCCCACTGCCATATACCGAGAATGACACATTCTGGTAGCATTCTTGCCAAAAAACATTTCACCTGAATATAACCCTGAAGGAATGATCAAACGCATCCAACTTGGAAGATGCTCTGCAAAACCGGGCTGGGCTCTTCAAAAATGTCAATGTCAGGAAAGACCAAACCAAGCCATACCAAACCAAAGGCTCAGAAACTGTTTAAAATTAAAAGTTGCTGAAGAAGCATGACAAGTGAATGCAATGTGTGATCCTTGATTCCATCCTGGGTCAAAATGGAAAAAAACAAAAACAAAAACAACGAGTTACCCCACCTGCTGGGAGGATCAGTGAATTTTCAATATGTATTACATATCAGATAATAATGTTAGGTCAATATTAAATTTCCTGAGTGTGGTCATTGTATAAGGTTATGTAAGAGAATCTATTTGCCCTTAAGAGCTACATGCTCAATGCTGAACAGATTATGTGTTGCTAATCTGCAGTTAACAATCCATGGTTCAGCAAAAAGAAACAAGGAAACAAATAAATATGTGTTTTTGTATATCTAAATAGAAAAAAGGAACATGGTGGTGAAGTATTAATAATAGAAGAATTGTAGGTGAAGGGTAAATGGCTCCTCAGTGTTTTATTTTCCCAGCTTTTCTGTAGGTTTGAAATTTTGCAAGACAAAAACTTGGACAGAATAAACAATAAATAATAAAAACAAATGAACAAAAAGTTTTGTTCCAGATCACATTTTCTGTGAAGCCTTTTATGATATCACCTCTACAGCCTCCAGTCCCTGAACACACACACATAAGACAATGAATCCCCCTCTCTTCTGGACTCTTTTATGATTATCTGTCTCTCTGACCAAACTATAAGCTCTTTGATATCTGAACCTGTGTGAGTTGTGTTGAATCTACACAATGCTAGATATTTGGACCTGTGTGTGTCATGTTGAATCTACACAAATGCTAAAACCATACCAGACACTGTAGCTGACATGGATGCTCAGCTGATGCTTTTTTTAGATTAATCAAGTTAAATCTTGAGGCTTGGATAGGATTCAGTAGGCAGACAGGAGCAAGAAAGGGTTTCCTTTTTTTTTCTTTTTAAGAAAGGTTTTCCAAGAGAGAGGAATGATGTGAGCAAAGGTAAGGAAGCAGAAATGTATATTTTGTATTTGCCAAGAACATTTGATTTGTTTGGTCCAAACTAAAGATTTATGTGGGTGAAAATGCCAGGCACACAATACATTCTCAATAAAAATTTGGAGAATGAATGAATGAGATTTGAAAGGCAGTTTTAGATCAGATTGGAAAGGGCCTTGACTATTGAATTAAGAGATCTGAACTGTAACTAGTTCTTAACATCCAGGGTCTTTTCCCAGTGGCAGGAAGTGAGTGTGTCCTTGGGAAGCCCCTTATATATTTTCTTCCCTAAATAATAAGGAAAAGTTGGGGCATCTGGCTGGCTCAGTTGGGGGAACATGGGACTCTTCATCTTGGGGTCATGTGTTCGAGTTCCATGTTGGCTGTAAAGATTACCTAAAAATAAATTCTTTTTTAAAAACATAAGGAAAAGTAGAGACAAGTGGGAGTCTGAAAGTCACCTGTTTCCAAATTCAGGAGGAGAAAACATCAATTCCTCATCCACCTAGGAAAGGCCCCATTATGGAGTTTTAAGACATCCAACATCCCTCAGAAAAAAAGGGCATCACAGAATATTGGTTGAAAGAATAAATAAATGCATCTATTTAATATGAATCATGCTTGTCCTTAAGAATAGTGTATGACATTATTTTGTTTAATTTGACTACATTTTTAAAGTTTAAGAAGCTGGGGTGCCTGGGTGGCTCAGTCAGTTAAGCGGCTGCCTTTGGCTCAGGTCATGATCCTGGGGTCCTGGGATTCCTGCTGAGTGGGGAGTCTGCTTCTCCCTCTGCCCTTCACCCTGCTCATGCTCTCTCTCTCTCTCTCTCAAATACATAATAAAATCTTTTTAAAAATTAAGTTTGAGAAGCCTAACTAGACTCTAATACTCTTTCGGGGGTTCCACATCATTCCACAGATTTACAAAGCTCCTCATGAGGCCATATCTTAAATGTTAGGCTAAACCCTTTTCAATAATTTTAGCCCGTTGAAGTGTTCATATTTACTTAATGTTTGTGTTCTGTTTTCTTCCAGATAGATTTGTGGGGACTGACAATTTAATTAATGCAAAATAATCTGATGATGACAATCAAGAAAAAGAAAAATGTGTTGTCTTTTGAGGTTATCATTCCCTTGACCATTCATAAACAGGCTGGCGTCTATTTTGTCCTTGCCATAGTCACAGCACACCACAAAAATCTTAGCTGAGAGGAAATGCAAATCTCAGGTAGCATTTTAAATATCTATTTTTAGCTCAATTATGAGGTAGCATTGAATTGTTCCAGAATTTTTAACATTACCGGGGAGAGACAGTGGCCGTTAAAATAACTTGCAATTTACAAAAGCATGTGGACATTCTTTTTGAAGAAATTAGACAAGATAATTTGAGCTGTTGTCTCCCAGGTAATGAAGTAGAATCAGATGACAAATCATTTGGGCCATGTGCACAAATGGATGGTGACACAGCTAAATTAGTCCAAACTGCCCACCCCAGGCCAACTTCATGAGAGTTCAAGGGCTATTTATGAGTTAGCAATATTCTTATAACCAGTTCTGATGTGTTTTGCAAGCAGTAGCATAATTCTATGGCAACAATCGACAAAGAAGTATCTGGACAGGGACACCTGGGTGGCTCAGTGGTTGAGAGCCTGCCTTTGGCTCAGGGCATGTTCCGGGGTCCTGGGATCGAGTCCTATGTGGGGCTCCCTGCCTAGAGGTTGCTTCTCCCTCTGCCTGTGTCTCTCCCGATCTCTCTCTCTCTCTCTCTGTCTTTCATGAATAAATAAATAAAATCTTAAAAAAATAAAAAGAAGTATCTGGACAGCCCACCAAACGCAGCCAAACCCATATCTCACTTCAGTTGTATAGAGATTAACATATGGTCTGAGCCAAATGCTGTTCCCCAGCTTGAAATATGATATTGCTACTTTGTAGAAAAAGTCCGGGCCAGTTCCTCCCTAATCAAATAGAAGCGTTCATAGATACCGTGTTCAGTGTGATCCAACAATTGAAGCACACATTAGATATCTTGTAATAAAATGTTTTAAAATGTCGAGCAGATAAGAATTAGGGCTTAGAAAATGAACGACTGTGAAGAGAGATAAAAGGAGATCTGGGGTTTCTCTGAAGACCTAGCTTGGTGGCCAAATCCTCCCTGTGGCAAGTTGCCCCTGCCATGGAAACCAAGCGGGCTGGGCAATAGGGGGATTGTGACGCCTGGGGGCGGGGAGGGGGTGGTGGCCAGTGACTGGTCTTCTGTACCCCAGACCCTCGCTTGAGACTTCACAGAGCTGCCACCTTCACAACTCGCCCGCGAGAGCGATGCCCTGAACCGTTCCGGAGAAAAAGACCACTGGCCACCACCTTGATGACAACACCTCCGTGTCTCCTCCCGGCTCAGGCTGTCCGGCAGCCGTCCATCCATGGCCTCTCCCAGATAACCAGCAGCCTGTACATCAGCAACGGCGTAGCGGCGAACAACAAACTCATGCTGTCCAGCAACCACATCACCACGGTCATCAACGTCTCCGTGGAGGTGGTCAACACCTTTTATGAAGACATCCAATATGTACAGGTGCCCGTGGCTGATGCTCCAAGCTCACGACTCTACGACTTCTTCGACCCGATTGCTGATCACATCCACAGCGTGGAGATGAAGCAGGGCCGCACGCTGCTGCACTGTGCTGCTGGGGTGAGCCGCTCGGCCGCGCTCTGCCTGGCCTACCTCATGAAGTACCACGCCATGTCGCTGCTGGACGCCCACGCGTGGACCAAGTCGTGCCGCCCCATCATCAGACCCAACAACGGCTTTTGGGAACAACTCATCCATTACGAGTTCAAGCTGTTCAGCAAGAACACCGTACACATGATCAACTCCCCAGTAGGCGTGATCCCCGACATCTACGAGAAAGAGATCCGCTTGATGATGCCGATGTGAACAGCGCCTGACATCCGCTGCAGATCCTACACCAACACCGAACTCTAACGTTAAACTTTTGTTGGGAAAGAAAACTAGATGCCTTTTAGAAGGGCAAGCAAAAAAAGAAAAGGGGGACAGTTGGACTTTTTAGCTTGTGAGTTTTATCTTTAAAGAATAAAATTCATTAAATGTAACGGTGATGGTGTTTCTTATCCCCTGAGCGTCGGGTCTTGGCTGCCCCAGCCTGGCCAGAGAGGAGGGGGATGGGGTGGGGTGGGGGGGGCTGAAGGTGGTGCCCACCTCGGATGAACATGTATCCTGGGCCCTGCCCTAGGCTGAATAACCCCGGCCTGAGTCCTGCCCACCCCTCCTGAGGGATCCACCTGGTTCTTCACAACCCAAAGTCAGAGCCTTAGCATCATGGCATGGCCTGGATTTCTCATAGTGCCAACCTCTGGTGAGTGGCCTTCAACTGGGGTATTCTGGGACCCCTAGGGGAGCCTCAGGCCACCCCTGCCCCTACCTTCAACAGCAGTGGCCCAACTCTGGGTTTCTAGATTGGATTTGCATGGAAATTCATTTTCCAACCGAGACACCTGCACCTCAATGTTTATAGCAGCAATGTCCACAATAGCCAAACTGTGGAAGGAGCCTCAGTGTCCATCGAAAGATGAATGGATAAAGAAGATGTGGTCTATGTATACAATGGAATATTACTCAGCCATTAGAAATGACGAATACCCACCATTTGCTTCAACGTGGATAGAACTGGAGGGTATTATGCTGAGTGAAGTAACTCAATCGGAGAAGGACAAACATTATATGGTCTCATTCATTTGGGGAATATAAAATAGTGAAAGGGAATAAAGGGGAAAGGAGAGAAAATGAGTGGGAAATATCAGAGAGGGAGACAGAACATGAGAGACTCCTAACTCTGGGAAACAAACAAGGGGTAGTGGAAGGGGAGGTGGCTGGAGGGATGGGGTGACCGGGTGACGGGCTCTGAGGGGGGCACTTGACGGGATGAGCACTGGGTGTTATACTATACGTGGGCAAATAAAACTCCAATAAAAAATATACAAAAAAAGAAACTCATTTTCCAAAACCCCATTCCACTCTATAAAATTCAAATGATTTTTTTCGAGTGCTGTACTATATGGCAAGGTCTCAAGGCACCCTTGGTGACCTCCACCAGCCTTTGTGAAAAGGGACATCATATCCTCTTCTCTGGGGCACATGCTGGGAGAGAACACAGGCCTGACAACCAGGCCTCAGGGGTTCCTCTCATGGGTCTTGACTTGGAAGGCTGGAGCTGCATGCCGGCCAGGGACATAGCCCTGTCACCTCTGACACCTCCTCCCACTGTGACCTAGGGGCCTCAAAGCCTCTGTTGCCTCACCTGTGAAAGCAGTGACAACTTCACTCTCACAGGGTGGTTGTGGGGGATGAGATTCCTTAGCAGGAACCCTAGCACATGAAGGGTTTAATGCTTCATATAGAGGGCAGCTCTTGTTATTAATGATATTCTTCAGCCCTGCTGGAAGGAGAAATTCAATTGCAGCACCCTCCCCCTCCAAGGCCTTGGTTAGAATTGCTAGCCATTAGAGCCAGCGTCCCAGAACCCACCAAGGTCCATGGGGTACCTTGCCAAAGGGTCAAATGAGTGAGCCCCAGAGCAGGCCCTGGGATCCAGGATTGTACAAACTCCCCAGGTACCCGGCTCCAGCTTGGGAGCAGCTGGGCTAATCCAGAGGATTTTAGACAATGTGTAAGACTAAAGCACAAATATTCCAGTTGACAGATGTGCATGTGGGAGTCCAGAGCCCAGTGGCTTTCAAAAGCCATTTCTCTCCAAACTCATCCTCACCCCTACTTCCACAGAAGGAGTGCCCAGGGACACATTCCGGGGGGGGGGGAGGTGCGGCGCTATGAAAACCCCTGTTCTAGATGGATTCCTTCCTTCTACAGATGGAAGAACAGGCTCACAGAATGCAAGGGCCTGTGTAACAGAGCCTTCACAAAGCAGCCTTTCTGGCAGAAACCCAGATGGGAAATTTCATGTTAGGTTTTTAAAAAGATTTTTATTTGGGTGTGTGTGTGTGTGTGTGTGTGTGTGTGTGTGTATTTTCTTTTTTTTAATACCCAAATTAACAGACCATAAAATTAACTCTCTTTAGACATACTGTTCTATGAGTGTTAACGCCTACATAGGTTCATGTAACCAAAGCCACAATCAGGACACAGAGCAGTTCTGTGACTCCAAAAATTTCCCTCACGCTTCCCCTTTGTAGTCAAACTCTAGCCCCACCCCAATGCTGGCAGTCGCTGAGCTGTTTGTTCTCAGCCCTTGTAGATTTGCCTTGAACAGAATGTTACGTAAATGGAACCATACAGGATATCACTTCTGGGGACTGCTTCTTTCACTCAGCATAATGTCTTTGTGATTCGCTCATGTTGTATTGTATAGATGTACCACAGTTTGTTTTATGTCCATCCACTGAAGGATTTTTGCGTCTGTATTAGTTTCCTAGGGGCTTCCATAACAAAATACCAAAACATGGATGGCTGAAAACAACAGGAATTAATTGTCTCACAGTCTTGGAGGCCAGAATTCCCAAATTAGAGTCTCAGCAGGGCCATCATCCCTTTGAAACCTGTAGGTGAAAATCCTTCCCTGCCTCTTGCCAGTTTCTGGTGGCTGCTGGCAATCCTTGGCATCCCATGGCTTATAGATGCATTGCTGTGGTCACATGGCAGTTTTCTGTAACATGTCGTCACAACCATCTTCCATCTGGTACTTCTGTGCCCAGATTTCCCTCTTCTTATAAGGACACCAGTCGTATTAGGGGGTTCAATCTACTCCAGTATGATTGCATCTCAACTAGTTGTATCTGCAATGTGACCCTGTTTCCAAAGAAGGTCACATTCTGAGGTTCTGGGTGTTAGGACTTCAACAGATTTGGTGGGGAGGAGAATACTAGTTAATTTATAACAGGATTGTCAAAAAAACAACAACAAGAAAAAAACAGGATTGTTGCCCATTTTTTGGCAAGTATGCATAAAGTTCTGTGACACAGAAGAAGAAAAGGATCATGTATCCTCGAAAAAAAGAATTGTAGCTGTTTAAAAGTTATAGCAAAATAGTAAAAATAACAATAACCATCTTTTATTAGGAAGTTATTATATGCCAAGCACTGGACCAGGCACTTCACAGTGTCTCTAGTCCTTACATGAGCCCTTCAATGTGGTTGTCACCTACAACATACTGATGAGAAACCTCCAGGAGGTTAAGGAATTTGCCTAAGAGAACGCACAGCCCAGGAGTGAAGTGCTATTCAAACTGGGCTCCGTTTCCTTGCATTTCTTTTGAGACAAAGGTAAGTAGATTGAAAGAAGAAAAGTTTTGATTCATGCCCTTGATTCTCAAATAGTGTACATACAAATCTCCCAGGGACTTTTTTTTAATAATAAATTTATTTTTTATTGGTGTTCAATTTGCCAACATACAGAATAACACCCAGTGCTCATCCCGTCAAGTGCCCCCCTCAGTGCCCGTCACCCATTCACCCCCACCCCCCGCCCTCCTCCCCTTCCATCACCCCTAGTTCGTTTCCCAGAGTTAGGAGTCTTTATGTTCTGTCTCCCTTTCTGATATTTTCCACACATTTCTTCTCCCTTCCCTTATATTCCCTTTCACTATTATTCATATTCCCCAAATGAATGAGAACATACACTGTTTGTCCTTCTCCGATTGACTTACTTCACTCAGCATAATACCCTCCAGTTCCATCCACATTGAAGCAAATGGTGGGTATTTGTCGTTTCTAATGGCTGAGGAATATTCCATTGTGTACATAAACCACATCTTCTTTATCCATTCATCTTTCGATGGGCACCGAGGCTCCTTCCACAGTTTGGCTATTGTGGACATTGCTGCTATAAACATCGGGGTGCAGTTGGGACTTTTAATTATATAGATGCTGGGCCTCACCACCACAGATTTGGGTTCACTAGGTAAAAGGTAAGGTCCAGGAAACTGCATTTTTTGGAGCCCAACATGGGATTTGAACTCATGACCCTATGATCAAGACTTGAGCTGAGATCAAGAGTCAGAAGTTTAACCAACTGAGCCACCCAGGCAGCCTCAGAAAGCTGCATTTTTAACAAGCATCTCAGACTACTCCAATGAAGGCCAAGGAACATCCACCAAGTAGTTGTTAATACTAGGGTATTCTGTATCTTCTCCTTTTTGTCCTTTTTTGAATTAAACATTCATGCTCATAGTTTTCTATCCGAGTATAATTTTTTTTTTACTTTTTTTTTCAATTGTAAGAACCGGAATACAGAACAAGAATATTCAACTTTTCTTGTCAAATATGCTGCATGTATCATGTGCCCTTTGTTTATGGTGCTTATTTGGGATTCAAAAGTTTAAATTTGTATGTAGTTAAATCCATGTGTCTTTAACTGAAGGGCTTTTGCTTTAAAAAAAAAGATTTATTTACTTGAGAGAGAGAGAGAGAGAGAGCAGGGGGAGGGGCAGTGGGAGAGGGAGAGAGAATCCTCAAGCAGACTCCCAGCTGAGTGAGAAGCCTGATTTCAGGATCCTGAGAGCTGAAATCAAGAGTTAGTCACCTGACTGACTGAGCCACACAGCTGCCCCTGAATACCTTTTGCTTCCAAATAATATTTGAGGTTTCCTCCATGGCATAACCACAAAAATGTTAACTATTATTTTCTTCTGATTATGTTTTTTCTTTTACTTTTCAACCCTCTCTCTCAATTCTTTTTAATTTGAAAAATTTCAAACATCCAGAGAGTTGAACGAATAGTATAATGAGCATCCACATTTGCTCCACTTAGGCTGGCCTTTTGTCATATTTGCTTTCTTTCTCTTTCAATATAATACTTTCTTTTTTGGACCTACCTGAAAGTAAGTTGCTGATATCTTGACATTTAGCCCTTAAATATTTCAAAATATATCATCTAAGAATAAGGACATCCTCTTACATAGTCAC